GAGATTGAGCATCTCCAGCTGTTGTTGGAGAAGACCAAGGTGAAGATCCAGAGGGACTTCAGGCAGTGGTGGAGCCACTGGGGGGCGCCGCATGTGGAGGTGACACTATTAATCATTCATAAACATTTAATAATTGATCATTTTAATCTACAGTTTTCAAGTTTCCGATGGTTTCCCCTCGTAGTTCCTATGGCAGTGATTCCCAACCACTGGGCCGTGGCCCACTCGTGTGCCGTCGAAAATTATGCAGTTTCACTTAATTAGTCTGAAAACTATTCATTATTTATTGAAAGTAATTTTTCCTTCTCAAAACATTAAAAAAAGTTGATGCTGATTGTGGGAAATTCTTAACAGACTGCCCCCTGGAGGCGCCAAACATGTGGTTCCTCTGGGAAAGAGAAGGCAGAACAATTAAACCTTCTTCTGCTAGGTGGCAGCAGAGAGCTATGAAAATAATAAGACTCTGCTGGCGTCTCTTAGAGAATAATATCTTACTCACCACTAGGGGGAGTCTGGGAATTTAATGAAGTCACTCACCAAACAGGAACGTGACAGCGTCCAGAGTCCTGAGTGTGTGTTCTGATTGTTGTCCTCTTTCTCTGATCTGTGGTCAGGAACCAAAGTCTGAGGCCACAGCTGCTCGTCATCACACCGTGTCACCACCGGGGGCGTTAGAGCCGTGTTCGCCCATCACTCCAGGAATAAAGTGAGATTATCTGTGTGTCAGTGATGTTGAACTTTGACCCCAGGGGTCACCACTTCTAATTCAACAGCAACAGCCAATCACATCCATCCCTGAAATAGTGAGGGTTGAACCAGGACTGATGATGACAGTCTGCCCTGGTGGCCAATGACGGAACAACAGACAAAATTCATCTTCATCTGTTGACTCCTCCCCCCCCTCCTCCCCCCCCCCTTCCTGTTTCATTAGTTCTTTTAAAGTTCTCTCTCTGACCTCCAGGGGCTTCAGTCCTAAAGACGTTCCTCCCATCACTCCTCA